AGAGAGAGAGAGAGAGAGAGAGAGAGAGAGAGAGAGAGAGAGAGAGAGAGAGACAACTGTGACTTGTGGCATAGACTGGACAGCCTGGACTAGGCTGTGGGACAGGTACTAGGCCATACCGTTAACCGCAAACTTGCACGAAGTATGATGGTACAATGTCGATAGTGTAGACTAGACCATGTCGTATAGGCTGGTGGGGCCACTAAGAGGCAATAGGCAACACCTGTAACTGCGAAATTACCCGGTAGCAGGCCAGCCGCCTAGACTAGACTATGTAGAACTGTCTATTCGACTAGTACTAACATTTGACTATGTAGAATAGCCTGTGGAAGCAAGCCAGCCGTATAGATGAGACTGTTCTATGCGACTAGTACTAACATTAGTACTAACATTAGACTATGTTGAATAGGCTGTGGAAGCAAGTGTGGCATTCACAGTTCCACACGGGCCCCTGCAGGGCCTGACTGGTAGATTAGGGGTGAGCGGGGTTAGTAGGGCCACGTCGTTCGGGGGTCCGTTTAAGGACCAGTAGCGGGTCTGGGTTAGGCCGGTACCATTCCGGTTAGAGCCAGTGGGGCCAGTAGCGGGTAGCACAGGCCGTGGCGCATTTTCGTTTGGGCGCCAGGCCACTGTTTCGTACTGGGCGGCACCAGTTAGGCGCCAGGCCGTTTTCAGGCCAGTTTGAATTTTGACGCCAGGTTAGGCGCCAGGTCCGTTTCAGTTGAGGAGGATCGGACGGACCCAGATCAAGAGGCTGGGCAACTGAAGCCGACCCAGCGCTATATTTAGTTAGGTCCAACTTCAGTCAGTAGGGAGTATGTGAGGTAGTTTTGTAGGAACAGTTAGTCGACGAGCTGGGCGCAGTTGGAATTAGTTTACAGCGCTGGGCGCGAGGATAGGAATTAGAGCACTGCAGTTGAACTACAGCGGGAGTAGGGAGAGAGTTGAAGGGGAGGCCAGAGGACTTACCGGACGACTTACCTGTGACGCCATAGCTCCAGCTTTGTCATCAGCGCTTCCTTACCCGCATCAAGGCACCACCTTTTGCAGGTTAGTAACTGGTACACAGAGGGTGCGAGAGAGAGAGAGAGAGAGAGAGAGAGAGAGAGAGAGAGAGAGAGAGAGAGAGAGAGAGAGAGAGAGAGAGAGAGAGAGAGAGTTGACACTGAGACTTGATGACTTTTGGGCTTCGCCCAGTTCAGTGCCATTGCGACTTGACATTGAATGAGCAGCGACATTTGGGATACATTGGAGACTGGGTTCATCGGGCTATGGTGGCTGATCCTCCCTATCTCCTCCTCCCTTCGTTTCCTCTGCCCCATTTCGTCCGCGATTGTATTCCGACTCGGTGCATCTTCCTTGCTTGCTCAACCTTGCTGCACTGAGTCCATTCACATTGTGTGATGATTGCTCGTGTCAAGTCCTGTCATTGTCCATGCTGAGTCAGATCTTGGTATTTCAGTCTTCCACTGCGCTATTTTGTATTGTCTCTGAGAGGACGGTTCTTGGTCTGGTCGATGCCGATTAGGCATGCGACAGCAAGCCAGCCGTATAGATGAGACTATCTATGCAGAATAGGTTGTGGTAACACTACTGACACTTAACATTTTTTTTAACGATTTGTGGAATCAGCAGTAGGACACACCAGTAACTGTACAGTTCAAAAACAAAAAGTCAGTTGCATGACTCAACTATGCATGCAGAACAAGGTGTGTAATCGACACTACTGTCTTCACCCGAATAGAACGTCCGGTCATTATAGTCGTATCTGGGGCAATTTTCAGTCCAGATACAGCGATAATTACCGGGCGTTCTATTCGGGTGAAGACGGTAGGCCAGAGAAGTGATGTTGAAGTAAGTTGGGAATGACTCTAACGAGTCTAGTCATGACTTAGTAACATAGACTGGGTATTGAAAGCCAGGAAAAAAAAAAAAAAAAAAAAAAAAAAAAAGTGCAGGAACTTCTCAAGTCCACGTGTCTTATGATCCTTTCAGTTGATGAAAAGCTTCTAAAACAAAACACAAAAAAAAGATTGGGTCTGGAGCAAGCAAAGTTTCTCATTCGCCTCTGGGTGCAGATTGGTGTAGATTACGTCAGGTGTGGCTCCCCACCAATGCACAGGAGCCAAGCGCGGGTCACTACTGGGGGATGCCCATTCCACCAAGAGAAGGTTAACAACAGTCGTATTTTTCATCACCACTTCAAGACACCTTTCACCACTTCAGGATGCAGCCTGCCTAAACAGGTGGTTTTCAAGGTCTTCGGACCTTTCACCACTTCAGGACACCCTTCACCACTTCAGGATGCAGCCTGCCTAAACAAGTTGTTTTCAGGGTCTTCGGACCTTTCACCACTTCAGGACCATTCAAGGTTTTCAGACTGCCCAAAACTCTCACTTCACCACTTCAGGATGCAGCCTGCCTAAACAGGTGGTTTTCAGGGTCTTCGGACCTTTCACCACTTCAGGACCCTTCGGGATTTTCAG